TACTGTCACATCAAAGTGGAAACGTATATTCCGAATCCACTGAGATGTTTCCAAATGCCAAAGTATGGTCGCTGGTGTAAGTACTCTGCATTGTCTGTTGTGTGTGCTCACTGCGGTGAGAAGACCCACACAACAGAAGATTGTAACAGTGATTACAAGAAATGCACCAATTGTTCAGGAGATCATTCCTCTTTCTCTAAAGAGTGTCAATTTGGAAGCACCCAGATGGAAATTAACAGGATTAAATTTACTGAAAACATTAGTTTGCCGAAGCAAAACAACTTGTTCAAAGATCTGACCCAAAGGAAACATATGCTTCAAAACCAAAACACCGTCTGAGCCATCCACTAAAGTTTCTAAATCTTCTTCAGGTTCCCAAACCAACTTGACTTGGGTGAACACCGATTCTCCACAGATTTTCTCACCTACATTATCTACTCAGACTGCTGAGCCACTTCCTGGCTATTCACAAAGTCAGTCAGGGGTCAGCTTCTGTGCATAGTTCATCATCACAGCCACCCACAAAGTCTCAATCTTTGTCTAATGTACAACAAGTTCCTAGAGGAAAAAATAAACCTAAGCCTGATTCTTCACAAAAGCAAAGTGGCAGAGCCCCAAAGGGTCTGAAAATAAAATCAAACTTTACAACAAATACGGATCACTTGAGGGATATGGACGTGTCCGAAAACGTCAATCTAGGGCAGACTGAAGCTTGTCGCCCTCCAAAACAGTCGCGGGTAGATCCCAGTAAATCCCCGAAAAGATAGTTTCTTCCAACACCATCGTACAGTGGAATTGTAGAGGACTACGGCATAATTACAATGAGTTACAGTTATTAGTCAGGATTGTATGCCATCAGCATTTTGTCTACAGGAGACTTATTTAAAGCAGACGGATCTTTTGACCTACGTCATTTCAATGCTTATCATTATTTCTCACCTCAGGTGACAGGGCCACTGGAGGCTCTTCAATCCTAGTCAAACAGAATGTTATCCATAGCCTATTACACTTACTTCTAATCTTCAAGCAGTTGCAGTGCGACTCACTTTACACGTTGCATTTACATTATGCTCTTTGTATATCTCACCGTCTTCAGTCATTCCAGAAGACTGATCTTCAAACTCTGTATGACCAACTCCTAAACCCTGTATTATTATGGGGACTTAAATGGCCACAACCCACTCTGGGGAATAGCATAAATACAAACGCTAAAGGTAAACTACTGGAGGAGTTTTGTTCAGACAATGATTTATGTATTTATAATGATGGTCTCCAACACGTATTTACACCCTGGTACAGGAACCTATTCTGCTCTCGGCTTATCAATCGCAAATTCAGAATTACTAAATGAATTTGAATGGTCAGTCCATGATGACCTATGTGGAAGTGACCATTTTCCTACTATACTAAAACCTATAAACCCATCTGATATTCCTCCATATTCGAGATGGAACTTTAAAAAGCTAACTGGCCTTTGTACCAAGCTCTGTGTTGTAGCAGACTTAAACCCGAACTCTTTATAGAATGTACTGATCCTATAAAGGATTTCTCTGAATTAATATTGCTGATGAGTGTATCCCCAAATCCTCTGCAATTCCACACATACAAAACCATGGTTCAACAATGAGTGCAAACGGGCTAGGAAGGGACGGAAGAAAGCTGAGAATTATTTCGGTCGCCATCCTATGGTCCATAATCTGAATACATTTAAAATTTTAAATGCTAAGGCACGGCGTACCTTCAAGCAAAATAAACGTCAATCCTGGCGAAATTATGTATCACAAATAAAAATTCACGAACGCCGATATCAAAAGTATGGAATATGATCCAGAAAATAAAGGTAAAGGGTTCTAAATCTAGCATTAAGCATCTTGCAAAGATGGAGACGAATTATTAACTAGTCAATCTGATATTGCAAATAAACTTGGAGAAACTTTGGCCAAACACTCTTCCTCATCGAATTATTTACCTCAATTCCAAAATTATAAAAAAACAACAGGAAAAAGAAAAACTATCAATTTCATTTTCAGATAATGTGGAAGATTACAATGAACTATTTTTCTATTCATGAGCTTCATACTGCTCTTGATCAAGCTCATGATACGGCTACAGGTGCTGATAACATACATTATCAGCTCCTGAAACACTTACCGGATTCATGCTTAGAAACCCTTTTAAACATTTTTGATGATATTTGGACTTCTGGACAATTTCCTTCTTCATGGCGCGATGCTATCATTGTACCCATCCCTAAACCTGGACGTGATCATACTGATCCTTCGAATTATCGACCAATCTCATTAACTAGCTGCGTTTGCAAGACCATGGAGCGCATGATAAATAATCGACTTGTGTGGTACTTGGAAACTAATAACCTTATAACAGACATTCAATGTGGTTTCCGTAAAAACAAAAATACTATCGATCATTTAGTGCGTTTAGAATCCTTTATTAGAAATGCCATTATTAAAACAACATGCAGTGTCGATCTTTTTCGATTTAGAAAAAGCATATGACACCACATGGAAACATGGTATTTTAAGAGATTTACACGATTTTTGGATTGAGAGGCCGTTTGCCTCTTTTTATATCACAGTTTTTAACGGACAGGCAATTTCAAGTTCGTGTGGAACTTCTACCCTGTCTGATCATTACAATCAGGATCAGGGTGTCCCCTGAGGCAGTATTTTATCTGTCACACTCTTTGAGTATTAAAATAAATAGTCTGTCAAAGGTTTTTAAGTGATTCAATCGATGGATCTCTTTTCGTGGATGATTTTAATATTTCTTGCCGTGGTAAGAACATGCGAACTATTGAGAGACAATTACAAATTTGTCTCAACAAAATTCATAAATGATGTCTTGAAAACGGGTTTAAATTTTCGAGAAATCCAAAACCAACTGTCTACATTTTTTGTAGGAAATACAAACCCCATAAAGATCCTGAATTATCATTAAATGGCACACCCATCACAGTTGTCAAGGAAGCTAAATTCCTTGGTCTCATCTTTGATTCGCATTTAACCTTTCTGCCACATATCAAAACTCTAAAAGCCAAATGCCTGAAGGCACTCGACTTGTTGAAAGTCGTTTTCAGTTCAAAGTGGGGAGGGGACCAAACCACCCTCCTTCATTTGTACAGATCACTGGTCCGATCGAAACTTGATTATGGCTCTATCGTATATGGTGGGGCCTGTAAAAGCAACCTCAAACTACTTGATTCTATCCATCACCAGGGTCTAAGACTTTGTCTTGGGTCTTTCAGAACCTCTCCCATTGACAGTCTCTACGTCGAGGCCGATGAGCCATCTTTAAAACTTCGCCGTATCAAATTGTCCCTACAATATATCACAAAAAGTTATATTCTAATGAATCAATCCTGCTCACACTTGCGTTTTTAATCCTCTTTATGAGGACTTGAATAATAGAAAACCTTCACTTGTTCCACCTCTTGGGATAAGAGAATCCAACAATATATTTCTGCTGCTGGCATTGAGTTGGAGAATATATCTCCATCCCGTCTTCTTTCTTCTCTTCCTTGGCAATTAGTGAGGCCACAAGTTGACCTAACACTGACAAAGTTTAAAAAATCCGAAACTAACGAATTACAGTATAAACAAGAATATAATCAATTAAAGAATAACTATAATACATACAAATCCTTATTTACAGATGGGTCCAAGGATGGTGGCATGTGCCACCGTCATTGGATCCAGAACAATATCTTCTAGAATGCCTGATACCAGCTCTATATTTACAGCAGAAGCAAACGCCATCTTAACAGCTCTTAAATATATTCAAAGACATCCCAAACATAAACAATATATAATATTTTCTGACTCTCTTTCTTGCCTTCAGGCGATTAAAAATCTCTTGCAAACATCCACTTTTAATTGAAATAATCAAGTTATATAATGATCTTGCTACTGGCCAATGCGACATCGTCTTTTGTTGGTTACCCAGCCACGTTGGCATTTCTGGGAACACAATGGCTGATCTTGCTGCCTAGGCAGCACTCAATGAAATCTGTGACACCACTTCTGATCCCATACTCTGATTACAAAGCCAGCATTAGAACTTACATCCGTGATCTGATGCAGAAGAAGTGGGACCCAAGTTGTTATTAATAAATTACATGCAATCAAACCAACTATCGGTTACACCTACTTGGGTTGTCAGTCAGACTTGAAGAGGTCATCATACGACGATGTCGTATTGGCCACACACGATATACTCATGCATACCTATTGAAGGTGATGATCCTCCGCTTTGTATCCCTTGTGATGAGGGAGAACCACAGTCAAGCATGTCATGCTTGACTGTGTTAATTCTCCATCATAAGGGGTAAATACACAATGTGAAAACAGTTAAGGATAATTTTAACACTGTTAATTTTCATTTAATTATTGTTTTTAAAAGAAAGTGATTTAATGAATGAATTTTGATTAATATGTTCTGTACATGTATGTATTTTAATTATTGGTAGATTTGATTAGTAACTTAGATTGTGAGTGGCAGTGCCCTCAAAGGGGGTTAGTAGCGTAAAATTATTGTCCTCCCGAGAGGGTACGTAAGTCCCAAAACATTCAAAGTAAATTCAAACCTACTACTCTTTTAATCGTAGAATATATGTTCGTTTAATTTATGGCTAGATTATCTAACATTGCTAATAGCTGAGGGGATGGTGTAAATCCAGCTAGGGTCCATGCAGGAAGCCAATGTACTGTAAGTCCCCATGGTCCCTAGTATGGTGATCTACCTTCAGTTGTTGGCAATATATAGCCGGTTTTTACCTTGTATTGTCCTATAGTTAGACTGTTTTAGATTTGATTGCTAGTTTTAAATTCGAATCTGTGATAATCTAGTTATTTTACTGTCCTTCGTTGACAGGTTTTTATAGTTTGCCATTGCTTATTATGCATAAAATTAATTGTTCTCGTCACGATATGGCTGAAATATTGCCGATGTGACGTTAAATTTTACAACTCACTCCACTCACTTTGTCTCTTTATATACGTACACAAGTTATGTACACCAACATTTGGAACACTCATCTGACGTGATAAGCACTGCACTCGACGTGCTTATGTCACTACCGACTAAATCTAATGACAAACGGAACATTCAAATAGTCTCATCACTGGCTGTGATCTTAAACGATGATGACGAAATCAGGCACGTAACAAGCCATGTTTTCGTCCGAATAGGTTGCAAAGCTTTATATCTGGATAGTATTGAGGGGGCTTGCCCAACTTTCACAGCAAAAATCACGTGTAAGCTAGGCTCTTTTTATAATCGTAGCTACGCCCCTGGAAATGATGTCACAAGTATATTATACTATGGGTAGTTTCCAATTTGATGGATGCACATCAATTAAAATTGTCAGAGTTTTTCTTCTGCATCACTTTTTTAGACGACTTCTGGAGGATCGTGTACAGATGATCCTGGTAGTCCAGCAGCTTCATGTAGTTGCTAGACTCCTCCAACGGGGTGTCGAGGTGTCGGCTCAGAACATCAAAGTCCGGTCTGGACTCCGGATCCTGTCGCCAACACTTCTTCATCAGAGAGAACCTGCAGAACGAGAGCGCTAGCGCTGTGTTGGATCAGCAGCTTAACACCACAGGGCCTAGATTTTCCGAAGCTCTCTTAGCGCCAAGATAGTCGTAACTTAATGTTAATGTATGGTACTTACGACTATCGTAGCGCTAAGAGAACTTCGAAAATCTAGGCCAAGCTTCTTAATTCACACGTAAAATAAATAAGATTCTAATATTGAAACATTGCAGGATGTGTGTTTCCAAGACATTAAAGGAAGCAGTATAATTTTACTACAGCATATCCTTTTATTAAAACAAAACACACTGTCGAATCTGTAGGAAGGAAATGTGGGTAGTGAACGCACTTTTATGGGTAACAAATACTTACATACTTTGCAACGAACTGACCTTCATACCTGTTTTAACGATAGTGTCAGGTGTCCAAATAAACCTGTTGTCATTGAGCATTTCGTCACGGATAGACTTTCATTATATTGATTGTTGATAGTCAGTGGTGGTATACCCGGTGTTCAGGTACATGTGCACTGACACAGGGTATATCAAGCCATATGCCAACAGGGAATGATTGATAACGTATTTATCTTCCGGATTTTCGTTCCACTGACATTTTGACAGCGAGCTGACGACGTCCAGAGAGTTATTGCCCATTCATTATTATCAGATATGCCTGGCTAAGTTTGCGAAAATAGACCTTGATACGTGCTCAGTGTCGAGACATTACATTTATATCGGCGTTTTCGCATTGGTAAGAACTTAGCAATTTCAAGAGAGGGTTATAGGACAATCTTATGTCATTGAAAGCATGGTGTATGTGAACATTTGCCTTTGATCTAACCAGTCAGATGAAAATATCTTTGAGTTATAAGCAGTGCCAATAAACCGCCTTAATTGTATGTGGTCAGACAAACATGTCATGGTTATTCCACAATCTCTGCTTGTATGCTCCACGCGTATTATTACTGGAATTTAATGCGAACTTAATAATGAAATTTAGATGAAGTCAGAGTGTTGCACTGAAGCAAAGACCATCTGATGATATCAACCAGTTATATCCATCTTCCCAATAACTCACAGCTCTGTAACCAATAACCCTGCTAATATCAATTGATGATATCAACCAGCTATATTCATCTTCCCGACAACTGACAGCCCCGTTACCAATAACAACCAGCTAGATCCATCTTCCCAATACCTCACCACCCCGTAACCAATAACACCTGTTAATATCAACCAGCTATATTCATTTTCCGACAAATGACAGCCCTGTAACCAATAACATCTGCTGATATCAACCATCTTCCCAATAACTCACAGCTCGGGGGCACAGTGGTCAGGCCTGGACATCGTCTGTCCATTCAGCACGTCCTGCACGACCTGGCGGGCAGACCTCCCTTGGTATGGGCTGCCCCTGTGCAAACACATCACAGACCACGTGGTTATTCAAGTAATCACATGAATCCAAGTAATCATGGAGAACAGTTCATGTAGCTAACAAACCGTCCTGATTATACAGAGTGACGATTGACGATTGAAACATAGTTTAAGAATGATCCTTTATCAATCATAAAATGAGGGTAATATAAACAGTGTATCACAGTGTGTATAACGGGAGTGTATCACACGGTGTATCACGGTGTATCACGGTGTATCACAGTGTATCTACTGCAATAAAGCAAAGAAAAATAAGCGAACTCAATGAATATTCTGCTAGAAGCGGTAAAACACTTTCAGTACTCCAAGAATATTCTGCTAAAAGCGATAAAACCTTTCAAATAAAAATATTCTGCCTCGGTGTCTAGGAGAGTTTATATTAAAAGCAGTGATAAAACCATTTCAGACCTCAGTGAATATTCTGCTAGAAGCAGTATGACCCTTTCAATACTCCAAGAGTATTCTTCGAAAATGATTAAACCATTTCAAATAAAAGATATACTACTTCGGAGTCTACGGAGAGATGTTATTAAAAGCGACTGTAAAATGTAAATACCGTGAAGTGTAACGGTCGTAGTTCAAATAACTGGAAGTGTTCAGGTGACCATAACTTGACAGTCTCAGTCCCAGCGTCTTACCATCCAATCAACATTTTGTGACAAACGTCAGAAGCTGAACGCCTATTCATTTCCAAAACTGAACGGTAATAATCAAATATCCATATTCTCTGCTCCTTGGGGAGTATACTTACCGAATGTAACAATCTCCCAGAGCAGGATGCCATAGGACCAGACATCAGACTTGGTGGTGTAGATGCGGTCTCGAGAGACTCTGGGGCCATCCAGCGCACAGGAGGGGCCCCTGTCACAGTAACCATGACAACAATGGAGATTTGGATCTGAGAAACCATTCCTGACATCATTAAATAACATTAAAGACTCGACTACCGCGCGACAAGGTAAACCCGGTTCAAGGTGAAAGACAAGTTCAACATTACCATAATGCATCTGATTGATCGAAGCAAAACTGATTATCACTGAACGTATATATTTTCTTATTCACATTTGCACAAAAGAGTTTTATGTGAGCCGACAAAAGGTATATAGGTTATCTCATTTTTAGAAAAAATATTTTCAATCAAAAGTGTTAACTAGTGTAAGTTTTTCAGTGTTCTAATTTCTGTACAGGATCATTTGTGTTTTTTGTATCGGCAGTTAGATGTAGAAAACTTCTTCATGGCAATGAGTGCGACGTTTCAGTGTAGGTACTGACACAACTTGATAACGGTGTTAGTACCTACACAGAAACGTCGCACTCATTACAGTAAAGAAGTTGACTATCCATAGAAAACTGGTTTTCCTTCATCTTTACAACTTCTAAAATGTCTCTCAAAAACTTGCATGTAGTTTGTTCGGATAACCGGAAGTTCCAGAAAAATAGAATGGAATATGATAATGCACAAATGGATTATCTCCGGTAGCTTGACATTAGCTGTCCACAGAGTCGTCCCGAGATAGCGTATGGTTGAATTGCGTACCTCCGATATAGTCTCGTAAACGTCGCCATCAGAGTCGGACAGATGCCTCGCCAGACCAAAGTCGGCGACCTTGCATTACAAGTTGTCAAACAGTAGCACATTCCTGGCAGCCACGTCACGATGAATTATCTGACAAAAATTCATCTATAAATTTATTGCACTGTGAGTGTAAAACCGACAAAGAATTCTGGGCCTAGATTTTTGAAACTCTCTTAGCGCTAAGATAGTCGTAAATGCCATACATTAACATTAACTTACGACTATCTGAGTACTAAGAGAACTTCGAAAATCTAGGCCCTGAACTACAAGTTGTCCAACCGACGTTCACACGCGTCGGCACTCCCTCTTTGGCAGAACTATTCGGACAGAACTGTGTTGTACATGAGACAGGTCCGACCGCGTCATACCAAAAGACGTTAAAATATGGTACTTGTTGGTCCCTGCCTGGCGCTCGGCATTAATGGGTGCAACAAGGACTGGTCAACTCGGAGTCAGTATAAAGGTGTCTGAGTGTGGAATTCATGCTTCACTGTGGCATGGTATCTCAGTGGGCTAGCACTATAAAACCAGTTTAGGTCTGGGCTAGTACAAGCAGCCGCACACACACATACACACGCATGCACGTCGTCATATGAGTGAAATATTCTCAAGCACGGCGTTAATCCCAATTTCACCTCACCTCACATGAGACAGATGTACACTACGAGCTCACGATATTCGGTGTTGGACGTTTGTGTGATGTAAATATCCACATTGTTCAAACCGTCGAACGCCGTGTTGATATTCAATGAGAGAACTGTGTCAGCTGTTTCGCGGAAAAGTAACGTCTCGGCCATCGCCATGACATCATGATATGACGCACGTGACGACGTTTAGGAGGGTACTGTAAAAATATGTTGTCTTACCCATTCAAGAAAACCATTGCCTTCAGAAAAGCTTCCATATATCGGTAAATGCTTACTTTGTTCCTATGAAGATGTCTAAGCCCCTTTGCTATCTGATAGGCGAACATCGTCAGTTGATTCGAAGTCAGACCAAGGTTGGCACTTTCATCATCATTGCTTTGATTCTCTGAGTCGTTGGACAATAACGGTGTGAGGGGCGGATCTGGAGACCTTAAGGCGTTTCTTGCGTAAAACTGAAGGAGATTTCCCAAAGGCGAGTATTCCATTATCAGCATACGGGAATCTGTCAGAAGGAGGAACGATTATGAAGTAACTGCAATTTGAAAAAACAGCTTCGTAACTCATGTTGATAATGACGTCGTTGTTGATGTGATGTCAGCTGCTTAACTCCTGTGTGAATGTTTTGAGTAAAGAATCTATAAATAGACTGCAAAGTCACGAATAACAAGCCCCGAAACAGATCTAGATTTCATTGGGTTTAAAGGAAAAGTAGCTGTAAAATGCACTGCTTATTACTTATTACTCACTGGAACAGTTATCCCAGGATGCTAGATCGTCTCTGACTTTTGAGTCGGGAACTAGAAAGGTTAGTTTATTAGCCCGAACTGTTTTAAACCCAGCATCAGTATGAATTTTGGGGGTGGGGCTGGGGGTTTAATACATAAATCACTACCTGGCATCGCTATAAATGAAACACCGTCATTAAAACTACTCACTTCTATCTTTAATCAACTGAAATCGACCTTTTTTGACAACAGTGCACAATTCTAATCCCAGAACGTAATTTCAACCAATCAGAGCCAGGGCGATCTCTGTGTCGTCATATGACGAATAGATGTGAGGGGGCCCAATGCAGAATTCATCTTACATTTCAGGGCGTAAATTATCTTGTTTACAGGTTTGTATAAACCTGGAATCGTGACAACTGTTGTGGAAAATGAAAGCTATATGTTCTTACAATCTACTGTCATCATATGAGTTTGTCTCCCTGCTTTGCCTAGTTTCCGAGTTACAACTTGACACATTACTTGGAACATCTGCAGATGAATCACACCTCGTTTTGTGGATATTAATGGATACATTCCTCGAACAAGGTAATAGCCTGACATTGTTCCTAATAATTTAATCTGTTTTAATTTTAATATTTGCATTTTGTTTTTATTCATTGACGTAGCATTCTACAGAATCGTTTTCGCCGTGAAGTGTAATGAGACATACACTATGGCGTGTGTGCGAATTATGATTCACTTTGGCAAACTATAAAATGTCTAGATATTACAGTCCTGTTATAAATGCACTATAAGTATCAACAGATCGTCTGCTTTTATTTAGTTTCAAAATGCATACAAGGATGATAATAAACTAATTAGGATTATAAGACCAAATATAAAGACGTACAATGACTAGTATCTACATACTGGTGGAGTGCACGTTAACCACGTGAATGTAGCAAGAAATTTATCGCGCAGTATTGTCAGTCGACCCCCACCTCGCTTCCGTGGAAGAAATCGTTATGTTATAAGTTGTGTCATGAAAAAATGCTTTTGGTTATGATTCAAATACATATATGACTACGAGTAGAAAGTAGTTTTGATTTTCTAACCAATGATGAAAACAAACCATAATCTCATTAATTCTAACAGACTTTAGCCCGTGACTTCACGATTTTCAAAAATGGCGGCGCCCTGTCGCGAACATCCGCCAGTCTGAGTATAAATGCTGTTTAGGTTTGTTTTCACCGAGTTACAAAATCAAAACTACTTTCTACTGGTAGTAAAATATGTATTTGATTGATGGCCAATAGGATTTTGCATGACATAGCTTATAACATAACAATTTCTCTCGTGGAAGCGAGGTGGGTGTCAATATAATACTACTTACAGTATTATTGTTACTTCGACCACAACCTCGCTTCTGAGACAGAAATCGTTATGTTACAAGTTGTGTCATGGAAAATCTTTATGGTCATCAATCATATACATATTTTACTACGACTAGTAAGTAGTTTTGATTCTTTAACTTCCGTGAAGCGATCTGAACACAAGTAAGATATCGTTTCAGGCTTCCACAACGCTCGCTTCGCACTCACAACCATTTTGCACGCACTTGCGGGGTCCTGTGGAAATCTGTGCATAGCGACACCATCGCCTGACCTCTAGGACCAATTGACGACAACGCAACGATTTGGCATGTCTTCGTTAATGTCGAGAAATCATCAAAATGACGAGCTTGCTACACACTTTCTATACAACTAACTGAAAATCCTTCCTCATATAACGTCACTGCAGTGCTCTGGCGACAGAGTTGCGTAACCTGTTTGTTGTTTCGTTGGCGGGCGAGGAGTGAAGCAGGCGACTTTTGGCAACTTTTAATCGCTCGGTACTAATTAACCACAAGTTTTTAAAGAATGAATTTGCTGTTCCGCATAAGACTGACCACAAATCTTTCATATGTAATAGATTAAAAGATTACAAAAAGAAAGTTTATTTGTTCTTTAACCTTACAAGGTTTCAATCTTCCATGTTCTATAGAGAATACACTATGCCATTTACAAAGTGGTCAAAATTTACTATTAAACTTTCTCAGTGAAGTTACAGGATTCTAGTACTTTTGTTAGGTTGAGTCAATACTGGGATTCGAACCCGCACTGTGACTCAGGCGTCTAATCGCCAGCACACGAAGTCAGTGATGTGAGTGAGATGGCTGTAAGTTTCCTGACTCTGACAATCTGGATTCGAATCCCGGATGAGACTCAAGCATACACAAAAAGTACTAGAATCTCTACTTCACTGGGAAAGTGGACTCAAAGAGTCAGTCAAAAGGTTTATTGTACAGACGGCCTCTGGCCCATATGCAAGAGAGTATGTACACATCATACTGTTACACACAGGGAGTAACACGTTCTTTAAACAGTTAGACATGAAGTTACGTCCCCTCAGAAATTACACGTCATTCATTCCTGTAGTCTCCCTTTGAGTTTGTGTTAAACATCAACATGAAAGGAAACTACTAAACTAGAAAAGGGAATCCAATATAACATGTGTTACTTTCTATAGATACACCATTATGCAAGAGCCTGTGTCTACAGCGTTCCATGTTGTGCATATGTGCTTGTACCACAACTGTTTTAACATAAATACATGGACGTGGGGGTCATTTTTACGGCTAGATTATTCGGCCAGGGTTAGGTCGTCCTCGACATTCCAAAACCCAGTGGGCGGGTGGGGTAGCCTATCGTTTAAAGCGTTGGCTTGTCACGCCGAATGCCCGGCTCGATTCCCCATGGGTACAATGTGTGGAGCCCATTTCGGTGTCCCCCGCCGTAATATTGCTGGAATATTTCCACAACCGGTGTAAAACCATACTAACTCTCACTGACTCCAAAATACAGAATGTCTTCTCACCTTTACATACTTTTAACAGCAACGATGTCACATTGACCTGTGTGTAGAATCCCATTGGCCTTGGCCTTCCAGACCTTCCAGAGTGACCTTCACCCAACACGGCCAGAAGTTCAAGGTTGTAGTGTGTTAACTGGAGTTCTGATGGTTGTGCAACGTTGTTATGTCGGTTGTATTCCTGACGCGGGAGCAACATTGTTGTGTTTGCTTTGTTATTAGTTTTAAGGATGTTAGCTGGTAATATAAATAGTACATTTTTTTCTAATTGGTATATTTTAAAGTATGACGTTTGTCTTTGCAAAACAGCCCAGAAAAGCAGGAGGAACTGTGGGTTTCTTGAGATATGTTAGTCTTAAAGATTCCTTGGTTAGCCAGGACTTTAAACATAAGAGTCTATGGGAAAATCAGCAAACCCTTTACATGATCCCTCATTTTCATAATTTCTAGTATTAAACTTTTTCTAAATTCCAATATGTTAATGACAACATGTTTTGCTATAAAAATAAGTATAAAACCATGGGTCCGCTGAGGGTATTTTTCCGCTATGACACAATGTGTCACATTATATTACATATTTGCACAAATGTTTATATAATATTTATGATAAATTTAAGGATATATATGTGGCTCAAATAGTTTTTCCTCTAGTAATTGAATGACTTACTGCATTGACAATTGAAATATCTTAGCTTAAGTGCATCCATGTTAACATTTATCTGATATTTTAAGCAGAAAAGGCGAAGAGTAATCATACAGGAAAACAATAAAGATTTAGTCGCTCCTTTGTCGTCCCAATAGACGCACATAGATGGACTTTGAATGTGAAGCAGAGTGGAAGTGATGGTGGAACATTGCCAAGTGACTGACATAATGGCTGGGGACATTATGAACATATATATACGTGAAACGTTTACTGTCACTAAATACACTGAAATCAAAATCATACTTACTTTGGTAGCTTACGGTGTTCAATGTGAACAGCAAGATACGTAATGTTGACACATGCACGTACCTTCTGTCTCTGTCTCCGCTTGATGCATACTGCGATGACTGCAATCAGTATCACAAGAGCAACAGCAGCCCCTACAGCAACACCAATTACAACCGGAGATATTGTGCCTGCAAAAGTAAAAAATTGTCTGATGTTACATGAGTATCGTCTGAGTGGGTGTGCAGAACATGTCTCCGTTAAATGAGCTATCATCTTAGACGAGTAGCAGTCTATGTTAAAGTATATGGGTGATCATCTTAGGTGCAGAAAAGTGTTGGAGTGTTCTTAGCATTACGATTGTCGTAAAGTGTGTTATGGGGTTAGATCATAATACGCTATCATCTCCGTTAAAGCGATCTACGACGGCTGTCGTAAGTCTGTGTTATGTTGAGTTAATCATCTTAGCGCTTGTCGGAGTTACGATCATCTTAGCACTACGACTGTCGCAAGTCAATGTTAAAGTCTTGTTACGATCATCTTAGCACTACGACTGTCGTAAGGCTGTGTTAATGAATTGGAGTTGCCATCATCTTAGCGCTATTGTCGTAAGTATGTCGTATGGGTTACGATCAAAATAGCGCTACGACGGTCGTAAATCTCCGTTAAAGCATGGAGACGATCATCTTAGCGCTACGGCATCAAGTCTTAAAGACTCGGAATTACGATCACCTGAGCTGAACGTCCCTGCGCAATGAACTGCCACAGGATCTTTTTAGTTCATTACACATGTACTGATTTGGGAGTTTGTCAGAGTCAGTGGCATGCATTGTGTACTCCTTCCAGAGTGAGTGAGTGAGTTTTGTTTTCCGCCGCACTCAGCAGCATTCCAGCTATATGGCGGCTGTCTGTAAATAATCGAGACCATACAATCCAGTGATTAACAGCATGAGCATCGATACTCCTTCCAGAAGTCATTTGAATCGTTACGATGTAAAAAGAGAAACTATTTATAGCTAGTCAAAACATTTATCTTAAGTCAAAACATTTCAATGCTGACCAAATATTTCTAAGTGAACCGGAATAATATTGTTTCCAATATGAAACACCAAAGAGTGTCATCATGAATGAAGGGGCAAGTATAAGCCCACGTCGTGTGTAATAATACAGAGGTTCTATGAAGTGTGTTGTATTTGGCGGAACCGGTGTGGTGGAGCCTTGGTGTGTGGGTGGATGGTGGTTACAGATTGGTGGGCATTGAGCTTGGTGGATATTGGAGCTTGGGTGGATGAAGCTTGGTGGATATTGGAGCCAAAGAGCTTGGTGGATATTGGAGCTTGGTGGGTATTGGAGCTTGGTGGATATGAGAGCGGATATTGAAGCTTGGTGGGCACCCTCGAAGCTTGGTGGATATTGGAGCCTTGGTGGATATTGAGCCCAGAAGCCTTGGTGGCATTGAAGCTGGCGGGTATTGAAGCTTGGTGTATTGAATATATTGAAGCTTGGTGGATATTGGATTGCACATTGGTGGATATTGGAGCCATATTGAAGCATATTGAAGCTTGGTGGGCACTGGAAGCTTGGTGGAAATTCGAGCTTGGTGGATATTAGAGCTTGGTGGATATTGGCCTGGGGTATTGGAGCTTGGTGGGTATTGAAGCTTGGTGGGCATTGGAGCTTGGGGCATTGTGCCAGGGTATTGGAGCCTGGTGGATATTGGAGCTTGGTGGGTGGAGATTGGTGGGTATTGAAGCATGGTTGGTGGAAATTGGACAGATTGGTTGGTGGATATTGAGCTTGGTGGATATTGGAGCTTGGTGGATAAAGCAGGACTTTGATCATATTGTCATGCACTTTTTGTTTGCTCACCATTTACTCACCGACTGGCGCGATATTGTTCCTGGAACTCCTGCTGGGCGGCGAATGACATTTTGCAAACGGATGACATCTTACCGTAACCACAGTCTAAAAGACGACAGTCTCTCCTCTCCGCCTCAGTTGTGTCCCCGCTGCAGGGTCTACCGGCAACAGTGGTGGAAGGTTGTTGCAGGATCGGGTCCTGGTCGCATTCCGGAGGCTGGTCGGATTCTCACATGTCAGTGGTGGACACGCAGGAACACTCCAAGAGCCCCATTCGACATTCCACCGTCTACAACAACAGGGTGCACAGTCAAGAGTTCAGTCGTAGATACATCCAGAACACACGACCAGAAAAGATCTTATTGCTCAAGCAAACAAACAACAACAAGAACGAAAAACAACAACTTGCACTCGCAAATATATATCAACGGAGTTTCTTCTTATTTGTCAAAACATTAATCTAATGCCTACATTTTCGAAGCTGTCTTAGTGCTAAAATAGTCGTAAGTTGATGTTAATGTATGGCAGTTACGACTATCGTAGCTCTAAGAGAGCTTCAAAAATCTTTATTCCAGGGTCCCGATCCACAAAGCGTTCGTAAAGTTAGGCCCTCTCGTAACTCTATAGTTTATCATGGGCTTACGAAGCTCTACGAGCGTTTTGTAGATCGGGACCTAGTTCCTTTACCCTACACTCCTATAATTACGATTGATTGGAAGCGATCTTACCTTTGATGAAGACAAAATTTCAAGGATCCTGTCCATTGTGTCTGACAAAGTGGAGAAGTTTTCAACTTGAAAGACAGTCTCATTGACGAGGCAATAGATCGAAGCCCGTTTCATACCGTCTTTTGATAGGGCGAGCTTGGGAAATTGAGTAACGGATTTACACCCACGGAAAAAATGGTAATTCCAGAGTTCCTCGCTTCCAGCAGCAGCAGCTTCTGTATTAATGGGGTAGTTTGACAGTCCATCTGTCATGACAATCATCACTCTTGAAGTATCACCAGGCTCCCTGGACAAGAACACGCCAGCTCGCTGAATTCCTAAGTGAGTGAAAGTTCCTGAACTTGGATGTGATATCTTGTTTATTTCCGTGGAAAGTGTCGTGATGTTTGAAGACACAGGGATTATAGTTGTGACATTATTGCCGTAGATCACAACACCAATTCTAACTGCACTGCCGATAGACTGACTGGTTAAAACAAAGTAATTAAGGACGTCCTTAATTATTCCGAAGTTGCTGTTGCTAATACTCTCTGAACCATCCACGACAAAATACACTGTGAATCCTCGGGAAGATGCAGGAGACGCTGGAAGTAAAATCACACCAATACATTCACGTATGTACAACACAATGTCAAGCCTATAACTAGATAAGTTGAGTCTTAATATGAGCATGGAAGTGTTTGAGTGACGACAGGATGTGAGACATGATCTAGTTGGTCGTGCAGGTGCACTACTGCCACTTCTGTTACGCGCTCGAGACACGTGTACAAGACCTTACAGCAAAATCGAAGCAATAAGCCGGCACATTTTTCGAGGGATGTTATGCATGTCTTAAGTTAAAAATTACGGATGATACCTTATGTGAGGAACTCCAACAAACAATAGTGAAATGTATGTATGTGTAGCGTACGCAATCTTTAACAATGTACAGCGGATGTGCTGTACACTTCTAGAAGCACACACAACATGGTGGTCTGTTAATGTATGATGTGTAACAATGTACAGCGGATGTGCTGTACACTACTAGAAGCAACACACAACATGGTGGTCTGTTAATGTATGATGTGTAACAATGTACAGCGGATGTGCTGTACACTACTAGAAGCAATACACAACATGGTGGTCTGTTAATGTATGATGTGTAACAATGTACAGCGGATGTGCTGTACACTACTAGAAGCACACCATTTGTCACCATAGGAATATGTTACGTGTCAAACCAGTACTGTGGCACAAGTAAAAACAACTTTCTGACAGACCACTGTTACGAAACGTGCGCGAAATATTAGTTTCATGCCTGGCAAAGTTTCAACCGGAAACTCTTCTAGCACCATGTTCATCGAAAAATTAGCAACATAAACCATTGGAGTCTGAGGTGTGTTAATCTCCACATCAAGCGACATTAGCCCCTCACCTGTCGACGGACAGTCCTCAAGTCCGCAGTTGACCACTTTAGATTCATACGGATGGACTGTACAAGGGCGCCCTCCATACCTCGGTTCTGGATTTGAGCAGTTTCGGTGTCTGTCCACAGTTCTCGTGGCACTCTTACCGCAAGTCTCCGTGCAGGATTGGTTGACCCATGCACCCCACTCAGTCATTCCACCATCAACTGCAAATAGTTGTCACCATAGTTTAAAATGTATAAGATGTTATATTTAGGATTACACTTCCTCCGTAAGTGACATCTCAGTGGCATTGTGTAATCATAACTTTCGGCCATGTGGGTTCTAGTACTTGCCAGACTTAATATTTGTTGAAGCCGCATCGGCGGAGTGGGTTACATCACTGACTTTGTGAGCTGGCGTTTTGGTGCCTGACTCGGAGTGTGGGTTCAAATCCCTGATAGGACTCAACCCCCAAAAGTACTAGAATGTGTACTTTACTGATTAAGTGTAATCCCAAATGTACTACCCATCAAAAGTTTAGACTCACTAGTGTAAATGTAGCCACTTACTCCGGTCAACAGTTCTAAAGTTAGGAGATAAACGTACTGTGTTTGGAAATTAGATGAATGTTAGACCGAATTGATAGTCTCTAAATTTCATTTGAAGCCGAACGCGTAGTTTATATGATATGTACATCAGCACCTAAGTGCCGTGTTACTGTACCCCCCTGGCCACACTATAATGGAATCGTCTGACCTACTTATTTTCTTGTAGTTGCTGACAGCGCAACAGTTAGAAATGGCGGACGAGCCAGAGTTTACATTTTGAGAATGGTTGAATTTTGAAGTGACAGTGGAAAATACTTGACTGACTGTCGAATCTGAACCCTGCAGAATCGAAGAATAGATCCTTTTCTGATTGACCTACGACCTGTAACTCATCAAAGACTGTTGATTTTTATTACCGGCGAGTATCGATCATGATTTCACGCACGTGCCTCCATCCCGGCATGCAACGAAAGAGTGACAGTGCTGCTTTTTGTACATGCCACTAACTTGGGATACCTTGGGAACATTGTTCTCATCATTTGGGACTGGATTGTGGCCAACCTTTTTCAAAGTGTACGAACATAGCAGTGACAGCCTTGCTGGGAAGGTGGCAGAGAGGAATTCTCGTGGTTCAATTTTTAACATTTTGAACGATGCAACGGGACATGATGGAGTATGAGTGGCATAAATTTGGTGTTATGCCTGACCGTTATCTCTATGAATTTCCCATTCTAAACGGAAACAACTATACCATTTACCAGGCAGGCAGATGTTTACGAACGTTTTGCTGCACAAATAGGGATAGATTAGGTTTTCTGATTTATATGTTAGATATTGTTTGTTTATGGGCTGTGTATTGTAATTGAGTTTGAATATTTTTATAATAGAAGGTGAGTGAGTGAGTGAGTATGGATTTACGCCGCTTTTAGCAATATTCCAGCAATATCACGGCGGGGACACCGGATATAATAGAAGGTAATAATTATGATAGTGAGGTTACCTAATAATTGTGGAGGTGAAATCGTACAATTATATTTTTCGGGTTTTAATAAATGTTTTATAAGCATTTCCATCACGTATGTTGTGTTGATATTAGTCATGTTGGTGGCCAAGCTGAAGAAGTGCGTCAGTGATGTATACGTGCGCAGTGAAGTGCCGTGAAATCAGACGCATTGTCAATCCAAATTTGATACCGTCTGAATTTTGATTGACCAATCAAATTCGAGCATTTCACGTAGCCATGGTAGAACAGATTATAAATATTCCATACAGTTTAACGGTACTGTTTACACATGAACTGATGTATTGTAAAACGAATTCGTAACGTTGAAAAGATTATTGTCATTAGTTCAATAAATGATGAAACTCAGTGAAAATTGGCGAATTCTTAACAAAACTTTACACCAAAACGCAGCTGTTCACATGCACGATATTTGCACCGACTTTTCAGCAATTTGGTGCATGATCCACGTGCAGTTAATTTGCAGAAGGTTTGCAGTTGGTTCCCCAAGTTGGTGGAAAAATTCATCTTCGATGTAACCATATATATATACATGCATTATATATAATGAGCGCTTTAAGTGAGTCTAACTTTGATGGGTACATTTGATCACTTTCTAAATGACATCTTGCTATCTACTCTAACTGGGTAGGTTGTTTACCTACTTTTATTTTTAGTATAAAGTCTATTTTCTCCCAGTACCTGTCTCGTATCGCGCCTGTACATTTCACTGTACATGTATTACTTATACGTTCTACTTTTACACTTCACCGTACATGTATTACCTATACGTACTACTTTACACTTCACCGTACATGTATTACCTATACGTACTACTTTAAACCTCACCGTACATGTATTACCTATACATACTACTTTACACTTCACCGTACATGTATTACCTATACGTACTACTTTACACCTCACCGTACATGTATTTTATGTACTACTTTACACTTCACCGTACATGTATTACCTATACGTACTACTTTACACTTCACCGTAGATGTATTTTATGTACTACTTTACACTTCACCGTACATGTATTACCTATACGTACTACTTTACACCTCATCGTATATGTATTACCTATACGTACTACTTTTTACACTTCACCGTACATGTACTACTTATACGTACTACTTTACACTTCACCGTACATGTCTTACCTATACGTACTACTTTTACATGTCACCGTACATGTATTACCTATACGTACTACTTTACACACTTCACCGTAGATGTACTACCTATACGTTATACTTTACGGTTAACTTACCTTTGCATGCGGCCATTACACACGACGTTGTCCTCGTCTCGGAAGACGGTGGAGCACATTGCAGACCTCCGTTCTGTGGTCTAGGATTTCGTGCACGAGCGAGTTCTAGTGTCTGTCTGTGTTCCTGATCGCAATCCTCCATAGCATATCTGGTGTCTATCATCTGTCTGCAAGGCCCAGTGGACCAATAGTGATAACTTGATCATGGTAAATCAATGATGACACCGGGTGTTCGTGGAAAGGGTAAGTATGTACTGTATTGTGACAGCATTTACGTACACTGTGCTGTTGTGGGTTGGTTGGTTTTCAACGCCTCACTCAGCAATATTCCAGCTATATGGCGGCTGTCAAATACTTGAGTCTGGACCATACAATCCAGTGATCAACAGCATGAGCATCGATTTAAGCATTGAGATATTATGACATGTGTCAACCAAGTCAGCGGGCCTGACCACCCGATCCCGTTAGTCGCCTCTTACGACAAGCTTGGGTTGTTGAAGACATGTGTTCACGGGCGTGCCGTTGTATAGTACAGCCCACCTGTGGTGACAGAGTTAGTACACTGTTCATGTCATTTTAGTCAAACATCTCTAGTCAAAGTCTTCATGTCAACGTGAATTGTATTGTGACAGTTTAACCTCCATTTTAGTCAAACTCTACATGTCAACGTGAATTGTATTGTGACAGATTCACCTCCATTTTAGTCAAAATCTACATGTCAACGTGAATTGTATTGTGACAGATTCACCTCCATTTTAGTCAAACTCTACATGTCAACGTGAATTGTATTGTGACAGTTTAGCCTCCATTTTAGTCAAACTCTACATGTCAACGTGAATTGTATTGTGACAGATTCACCTCCATTTTAGTCAAACTCTACATGTCAACGTGAATTGTATTGTGACAGATTCACCTCCATTTTAGTCAAACTCTACATGTCAACGTGAATTGTATTGTGACAGCTTAACCTCCATTTTAGTCAAAGTCTACATGTCAACGTGAATTGTATTGTGAGAGCTTAATCTCCATTTCAGTGAAACTTTACATGTCAACGTGAATTGTATTGTGACAGCTTAACCTCCATTTTAGTCAAACTCTACCTGTCAACGTGAATTGTATTGTAACAGATTCACCTTCATTTTAGTCTATCTCTACATGTCAACGTGAATTGTATTGTGACAGATTCACCTCTATTTTAGTCAAACTCTACATGTCAACGTGAATTGTATTGTGACAGCTTAACCTCCATTTTAGTCAAACTCTACCTGTCAACGTGAATTGTATTGTGACAGATTCACCTCCATTTTAGTCTATCTCTACATGTCAACGTGAATTGTATTGTGACAGATTCTTCTCCATTTTAGTCAAACTCTACATGTCAACGTGAATTGTATTGTGACAGATTCACCTCCATTTTAGTCAAATTCTACATGTCAGTGTAAACTGTATTGTGACATATTCACCTCCATTTTAGTCAAACTCTACATGTCAACGTGAATTGTATTGTGACAGATTCACCTCTATTTTAGTCAAACTATACATGTCAACGTGAATTGTATTGTGACAGCTTAATATCCATTTTAGTCAAACTCTACCTGTCAACGTGAATTGCATTGTGACAGATTCACCTGCATTTTAGTTAATCTCTACCTGTCAACGTGAATTGTATTGTGACTGATTCACCTTAATTTTAGTCAAAATTCTACATGTAAACGTAAACTGTATTGTGACAGATTCACCTCCATTTTTGTCAAACTCTACATGTCAACGTGAATTGTATTGTGAAAGATTCACCTCTATTTTAGTCAAACTCTACATGTCAACGTGAATTGTATTGTGACAGCTTAATCTCCATTTTAGTCAAAGTCTACATGTCAACGTGAATTGTATTGTGAGAGCTTAATCTCCATTTCAGTGAAACTCTACATGTCAACGTGAATTGTATTGTGACAGCTTAACCTCCATTTTTGTCAAACTCTACATGTCAACGTGAATTGTATTGTGACAGATTCACCTCTATTTTAGTCAAACTCTACATGTCAACGTGAATTGTATTGTGACAGCTTAACCTCCATTTTAGTCAAACTCTACCTGTCAACGTGAATTGTATTGTAACAGATTCAATTCTCTATTTTAGTCTATCTCTACCTGTCAACGTGAATTGTATTGTGACAGATTCACCTCCATTTTAGTCTATCTCTACATGTCAACGTGAATTGTATTGTGACAGATTCACCTCCATTTTAGTCAAACTCTACATGTCAACGTGAATTGTATTGTGACAGATTCACCTCCATTTTAGTCAAACTCTACCTGTCAACGTGAATTGTATTGTGACAGATTCACCTCCATTTTAGTCTATCTCTACATGTCAACGTGAATTGTATTGTGACAGAT